GGGCTACCTTGTGAGTCACGGGTGCTGACGAGACGGTGTTGGATGGGTGATGACGTTGGAGTGGGATGGAGGATTTAGGTTAGATTTAGGGTTAGATCTAATGTAAGATTCAGTGAAGATAGTGTGGCGGTAATTGTGGTACTTGGTGTATATAGTGTGGAGGTAGCCCGTGTAGTGTGGGGGTAGTGCGAGGTTATGATGTGGGGTAGTAGGGTATCATGATGTCGATTGTAAGGTGACATGGCCAGAATGATGTCGTAGCGTAGCGTGGCGGATACAAGCTGAGTTCGGCCATGAAATTCAGGGTTGAATGCCTGTTCTGAAGAGACCTGCCCGTCTGTTTCGGGAGTGGGGACTAATGAAGTTTGTTGGAGAGACTGGGGGGTCGTGGTATGGGAGTGGGAAGGGGTTTATGACGTTGTCTGAGGGATAGGTTGTGTTGTGAGTGAGCTTGATAGTTTGTGGTGACGTCGTTTGATGGATGTGTTGTTTTGCGTGCGTACCGAGTAGTTTCTGATGACGCTGTTCAAAGGACACGTTCCGTTTTGCGTGCAATTAAAAGTCTTCAATACTGTCATTGGACAAATAGGAACGGGTCGAAAATGAATATAGAGTTGGGTATATATGTAATTGATGCATATCTCGTTACCGAATAGTAAAAGCCAGCCAGCCTCGCAGCCATGTAGCCGTCTGTCCAAAGACCCACATCTAAACTCTCCTCCAAGAAAATGTGCCAAAGTCAACGGGGAATAAGAAGCAAAATAAAGAGTGGTGAAGAATACTGTGAAACCAAGAATAAAGACACGCAGCGATCAACGCGCAAAAGAGCCATGGCAATGTACAACCCCAAGCATCCAACGCCGCATCAAGTACCCAAACCAAGCCCGCTAAGTGCAAAGAAGTAAGAAGATGAGAGAGAAGAGCGAGGCGCTCTAGTTCGAGCCTGAGCTACCCCTCCGGCTGTCGGCTGGTGTGCTGGGGAAGCTGAAGTCGACGGGCGATGGCGGTGGTGCGGGGGTCTCGTTGACCTCCATGGAGCGCGAGCTCAGGCTTGATGATGCCTTGAAAGCTGCGCTCACATCGTGACCGAGAGTTGAGTTTGTGAAGATGGACAGGCGCTGGCGGGGGTTGAATGCGGAGGCTGCTGAGGCGGGCATCTTGGTGGTTGTTTGTGTGGTTTTGTGAAGTTGAAGGGTGATTCGGTTTTGTAGATCGATGTACTCAGTACGTAGACGAGGATGAGTCTTGTAGGGAGTAACAAGGAAGACTGGCGGGTGAAATGGAGGGTGTCCGGAACAGTCGATTAAATAGTTCGCAACGGAAGCCGAAAAACTGGTACGGGCCGGAAGTATTGATGCGCTGGTGCAATGCAGGGTAGGAAGTGCAAGTTTCGCTCGGGGGAAGGCGCAAAAGATATGTGATGTGCTGTCTCGGGCTGTGACAACAACTAAAACTTCGGGGGGCTGACTCGGTTACGAAGACGGGGGTGTGAGCCTAAGGAAGGGTGAGTCAGATTTAATATATCAGGGTAGAATGCGCTGAGGGCGAGGGGCTGTTTGCGACAGGGCTGATGTGTGGTTTGTGCGTTGGCCATGCAGGGCCGCCAGATTTGGCGGAGCCCCGGACTTGAGGTGCTCGGGTATGGGGAAGAGTGTTGCGTAGGGGGCTGGCCTTACTTTTTGGTAGGTGCGTGTCACTGGGCGAGGCGTGTTACACAAGTTCGGTGTTGTAGAAGGCTCGTGTGTGAGGAATGCTTTGGTGGTGTGTTTGAAGAAAGCAAAGAGGTTTGACGTAGATGTGGTTTTTGAGTATCAAGTAGTATTGGGCTTTGGGCTGAGTTGTGCTTTGCGATGTGTTGGAGAGGGCGATACCGCGCCGAAGGGGGTAGCTCTCTTATACAAGACGGAGTACAAGACCAAAGTACTGATACGATCGCTATTCACCGCCGAAAAGACAAACCCTGACTCGCATCATTAGCCAGGGTAGTAACGGAATCTCGGAAGGGCCATACGTTTTGAGCTAAAAGCAAAAGTATAATCAGCAATCAAATGCGGCGGCAACACGGGGAAGCGGACGGTTGCAACTCCTTGCTTCGCAACCATCGTTGCACCTGGCGCGCAGAGTCCACCCCACGCCCTGATCCTGTTCCAGGGTCGCAGAATCAAGGCTGTTCTGGGGCGTCCTGTCATCATCGACGTGTCTGAGACGATGTTCTCGAAGCGAGGATGCGACAAACAAGGCGCACAAGCCCTCAGGCCCTTCTGCAGCCTCCTACGCATTCCTCGACGGCATCAGGAGCTTGCTGGGTAAAGAAAGGGTGCCTATCGCTGTATCGTAGACGGCCCGAACCAGCAAACCAATACCTTGCGATACACGGCGGCGGTCCGCGGGTAGGAGCCGACAAGCGTATGACGTGGGCCAGCAAGACACCACAGTGTCCTTTGGGCGGCTGTCGCAAGCAAGGCATCATCAAAGCCGGACCGAACAAGTCAATTCTCTGACCGCTTGTCCGATATGCAAGTGTATGCACATCCCACGCGAGGGCTTGCGGCAGAGCAAGATGGGGTAAGTGGAGCTTCCGGGCTGCATTCCCCGGATACCAGCAGGCTGGGATTCGCCCACTCGAAAAGGAAGACGAGGCGTCTGGAACTTTGTCTCTCCACCTTTGATCAGCGGGATGCGCATTACTGCTTGATTTCTTGATGCCCATCCAGGCACAGCCTTTCGCATTCGCAACGGCTTTTTCTACCGCTTATCATCGACTCATGCTCCCTGTGAGTCGGACACACCCAGATAGGCAAGCCGTTTTGGGTTGCGACGCGGAAAATAATCTCTGCAATGCAACGGTTGCCCGGCTGGAATGAGGCTTCGAGAACGCTGTTGGAAGGACGCTCGAGCCGACAGGTGTCACGACCAAGGCGTCACTGACGTTTGTGCCATCCTGCCGCCCCTTTTCTACCGGTCGAAATTGCGGCAGAAGAGTGACATCTCAGATCTCAGACCTCTCTCCGTCCTGCGTTGGCCGCCCTGCGCAAGGCTAATCCAATTTGTTCTCGCTAAAGGTCCAAGGAATCGCTGATCGAATACTGATCGAACAGGTTTGGCGCCGCAAAAACTCGTGTCAGCGCCAGTCGCGTTGCGATCTCGATGCGCGACGCGTCCTCTGCAAACAGTTTTCTCTCCGCATCATCCGAACCATGAGTCCATGTTGTCGTTGAATATATCGACATTATTACCGGGCGACTATTTCTGGCGCGAACCTTCTTTGCTTCTTCGTGTCTAGCAGTAGCCTGAGCCAAGCTCGCCTGTCATGGCATCATATTGTCGAGACGCCGAATAGGAAGCCATGGAAGCCGGGGGTTAGACGCGAGCTAACGCGAGCTCAACGTCGTTTCATCGTTGGTAATACGACGTAGCCATTGCTCTTTGGCAACATCCGACATGTTTCGTCCAAGCCTTATCCTCGCCGCCCGCTTTCCCCGGACTGGCGTATAGCCTGATCTGGGGAAATTGATCCTCGTCCTTGCCTTGGCCCTGGGCGGAACAAACTTCCCCCCGCCATACTGCGCAACGTTGCTCACCGGGACCGCGGAGGGCAAGTCGTACGACGCCGCGTCGCGCATACGTAAATTTGTGTCGCATCCGAAAGCGGGTTGTGCCATTAGCGAGATGGTGGTTTGGAAATGTCGCTGTGGTTTCCCGATCGTCTGCAGCGTCCCGACGATATTCCGCGCGTTTCTGACCGACTGTTGAAGGGCTTTCACCGCAACTTGATCGACGAACATCGCGGAGAAAGAGAGGTTTTCGTTTGCAGCGGTAGCGCTGCGGCGGCTGCTGCGCATTTTGCGGGAGGGTGAGAAGCGCGCTGCTTCGCATGCCAGCTCAACAGTACTCTGGATCTAGGGAAATGCTCAAAGGTATCGCGTCAGTATGGTCGGATACCAGTCCACTGCCTGTTCGGAACGAGACTATGTTAGCGCGTTCAGCAGCATTCCCTCACGACATGAGTGTATTTAGCACCCCTAGGTGCCCAGGTGGGAATCAGGCTCTTATGTCCTATGGTTGACAGAACGATCCGCATTTCGCAAACACACTCCCACGGTTCATTGTTCAGGTCGCAGTTTTTAGGAAGATCTGAAAATTATGCGGCGATATCGTCTTCGGTCGCGCGTTTGTATTGCCGCTCTCTTTCACTATTATTACGCGCGAAATGTTTGCACCACGAGCTTGAAAATTCTTTCGCGTCCGTTTGCACACCCTCCACACAGTAACTCCGCTTGAAATTTGTTACAAGTTAGTTGACACAACAGTCAATCTATCCAACTTCGAGCGCGCCTACGACACTATGGATTGGAGGACGCTACCTCCCGGAGCGCTAGCCTCTCTCGACTCGATACCGGCAGCCGATGCGGAGGCTATCCTGAAGCGCGCACTTTTCTTCGGATGCGACGGAGGCTTTACCTTGGGAAGGGCCGAAGTGTATCAATACGATGAGCTTACCCATCGTTTCTTTGGCTGTCCGAACGATGGCAAGTGCGACATTGACGAATCTATCGCAGCCGAGAAATGGGAGAAGGTCCTTCTGAATGACGACTTCGACATTCGTCATTGCATTCCCAGGGTCGCAGTCGTGAACATATTCAAATGGATGCGCCTGGCCAACGTCGTTGCGCAACACGAACAACTCATTCGCGCACGTTGGCTCAAGAAGACAAATCGTCAGCGAAAGGATGTCCTACTCTCTGCAATGCCTGACATGCCCTCGAGCCACAGAGCTGACATCGAGATGGTCTTGGAGCAGTGCTGTCCCAATCAGCGACGTGACTTACTATCTTCCATCCTCCCCTACATCAATCTCGAGGATCTTACGAAGCCAAAATCGCTACTCATACTGCTCAACGCCCGAGCACACCACTTGCCCAACGAGTTCGCATACTCCGATTTCGAACTCGCACCGCTGGCTCAGATTCGGCCAGTTCTGCTCAATCCGACCGACTTCACAATAAACTTTATTGGGAATTACGGAGGCGTTGTACATTGGGACGATGAAAAGGCAGCCCAGGATTCGATCAACAAGGGCTTGACGATCCATCCTGTCCACGGACTCAACATCCTACAGATACAGCACTCTTTACTGGAGTTCTTACACAAGTGCTGCATACATATCCTCCACGATGTTGTCTCGACCAACGTGATAATGGCGACATCCGTCACTGTAGCGCCCACACCGCCTCCACTGTCGGACAACGACGAGCAATACAGTTCCCTTAATGTCGCGATGAGAGAAGCACCCTATCGTGAACCAGCGCTTCTTAATCTCAACTCACTTCAAGGCCTAGTTTCGGCATATAAGGCGGCAGCTGAGGACCATGTGTGGTTGCTCCGAGAAGACCCCAGCTACTTCGCAGAGATTGTGCAGGAGCAATACGAACATCGACAAGAGCTGCTCTTAGGCCAGAACTGTGGTCGCCTACATGAAAACGCAAAGGAACGGCCGCTTCGAGGAAAGGTTCTTCGTACCATGATCACCGACGCCTATACGGAATTTTACGTATGGCATGAAGTTCAGCGCCGCATCTCTCAGCTTCATGAGATATCTCTCAAGTATCACAGTGAGACACGAGGTCTACGGAAAGAGTTGCCATCGGACTTCTTTGAAGCTTTAGTGGAGACGTCGTTCTTCTTAGAGGCCACCATGCTCGACTTTATACATCAGATCAGTCAACAATGGTGCACCTCACCTGTGATTCGCGACTCTTGGGCGCAGGCATGCGATGCGTATTGTAAGCATCATGCTCATCCTGTGCCTATCAAGGATCATCCGCGGGGCACGGAGAGGAACAAGATAGATCGCCTGGTCCATTTTCTGGGTTATGCGCCGTATCGTAACAAACTTGGCATTCATACTGTGGTCGATGCAATTGAGAGACTGCTACAGAACAGTCCTAGTGCCAAAGCCTTGGTATCTCCTCGGATTGCATCGTACATCTCACAGCTCTCTGTGGCATCACAATGCTTCCAGCAACTTCAGTTGTTTCAGCCGTGGGCAAGACAGGTCAAGCACAGTGTCAAGCAACGCCAGACTCAACTGTTCATCGCATACACGGCCTCTTTCTCGAAGTGGCACGATGTCTTGATGACCAAGTTTAAGGGTACCAATCTGTGGGAGCTTGGCAAGCCTGACGGAAAGTTCCATTATCCGGCGGATAGACGTCGATCTCGTGCGAACGTCGATGCTCTACGGAGTGCTGAGGCTGCGCTGGATGCATTTTGGACTGCCGCAGATGATCGCTTCCGCCAAAATGCAGGCAAGACGCCGCACGATATTGTCACTGAAATCATTGAAGAGCGCACTCTGCAACGAACACCTCCCTATATCGAGCGTAACAACTCGTCGAGGAAGACGTCGTCTCCCGAGCCTGTCGACTATATCTACGTACCGATCCCCAACAGCCTTCACGAGCCCACCAAACAGATCACAGGTGTCTTCGACAAGCTCAGTATAGGATCTTCTTCGAAGACTAAGACACACGGGCTTTCGGATTCTCCGGCCGATATCGAGCTTATCGAATACGTTGCTGACGGCGAACCTGAGAGCCAGCCATGTTTCCGCCTCGACAAGCGCGCGTGCAGAGTCTTCCGAAACTTGTTCCATTCGCCAGACTCGCGCGACCAAGTAGGAGAAATTCCTTGGACCGACTTCCTGCATGCTATGGTCTCAACTGGGTTCTCCGCGCAAAAGCTTCAAGGTTCCGCATGGCAATTCACTCCGAGGAATCTACATGTCGAACGGCCCATTCAGTTCCACGAACCGCATCCTACACACAAGCTACCTTTCACCTGGGCTCGACGCTTTGGTCGTCGCCTAGCGAGGACGTACGGATGGAAAGGTGATATGTTTCAGCTTGCTTGAGTGCGACTTTCTGGGGGAGGATGCTGATGAACCACTATCTGTCGCGCTGACATTGGCGTAGAGGTCATGGGCATTGGGTGGAAGAGCTCTTGGGTCGCGGGTCTTGCTGAAGATGCATGTTCATGTGATTGGTAGACTGGTAGCTTAGCATTCTGGGAGTACAAACTCAATCGTCGTGGTAGAAGGCATGTAAGTACATTACAGAAGTAGCTCAAAGCTACACTTCTATATTCACTCAGTCTCCAGTAATCATGCACGTTGCGATGGGCCTATGAAGACAGGAAATATAATCTCGCTTTGGCGACGTAGCACTCACACTGGTGGTGCGGCGTAAACCATGTACTAACTGCCAGCGCCAGCGGCACATTGCTGACGACAGTAGTCCGTTTCATATTGACACTGCTATCGAGTTCAACGCACGCGAGGCTGCTGTGCCATGCACTTGAAACATCTTTACGCAAGGCGGAGAGAAGGATTCAGATGCAAGTTCAAACGACTGAGCCTACTCTATCTTAGGGCGTATCAGAGAGGGGCCACAGTGGGCCAATCACGCCGGTCTTGCTGTCTGACATAATCGCCTAGCTTTTACGGGTAAAATGAGCTCACATTACGGCACAGAACCTCATCACTTTGCCCCCACTTCTTCATTGACAGTAGGTGCCGCCGCCACAAGTTTGCATCGGTTGTCATCGATTCCGGTCGCAGATCCACTGTGATTCATTCGAATCAGCTCCAAAGCGACCTCATCATGGATAGTGCTCAAGACAGGTATGCTGTCATTGCTCCTAGGCGCCGACTTCTACGTTTGAACATGGTCTCTCTTTGGACATCAAGACGGCGAAGTAAATCTCCAAGTATAGCAGGATCGCAATCTCGAGCGTCGCAATATGTCTATAAGAGCGGGCACACATTGAACTGTTGATATCTTCCATTGAGCCATCTCACATCTCAAAGATCCCACGATCTTTTCACTGCCAAACTTCCTTATACATTTTTTCCCAAGAACTTTGTTCCATCAATTTCACATCATGCGCTTTCGTCTCTTGTTCCTTGTGTTGATACCAGCGGTCATTGCAAGTCCGTCTCCTGACGGGAACAACAGGGAGGTCGACATCTCTGCGAACGTGGAACCAATTACAGCCACTGTCTTCGTATACCCATCCACCGATGAATTCAGTCGTGATCGCCAGGATGAAGAGACTGAGTGCAACTTAGAGGCTTTCTACGGAGATCGTGTCGTAAAAACCCAAGATTCCAATGGAAAACCGTGTTGGAAGTTGTCCCTGATCGAAGGCGAGACGGTTGACGATCTCCGGGGTTGGAGGGACATCGATATCCCCGGTGTGAGCTACGAGGAGCGGAAGCTGAGATTCACGAAGAGGAAGGTACCTCCGAAACCGACAACGTGGTGGGCTGTGGCCAAGGATCCGGAGGACACCGAGGCGAATGCCAAGATCTTCGCGTACCTCAAAACCAAGACCAAGCCTGGAGAGGATGTCTATGAGCTCACGTGTTACGGAGGGCGTAGATGGGGCCCGTTGCATTTGAGTCCAGGGGGCATTTTGGAAGTGGCACAGTATCCCGGCATCCTCCCGGAATTGGATATATCTCAGCCGCTCATCAAATGTTGAGCTATCCTCAGCGTAATGAACGATTGCCTTCTTCAAGAAAGAGAGAACCTAGCTCTTACAGTCTTCTTAGGTCAAGTTCGCATCTCGATTAATGTCTTCAAAGTACGTGTTTGTGGATGTCCTGACCATCCCCACAATCCAGCAACTCCGCGGCCCACTATGATGTTTTCTTCTTGATCACGCACAACCTTTAGCAAGCGCAGAATGAATACTTATAAGTATAATCAGATGCTTCACTGATTCCAAAGCACCGCCTTCGCCGGCAGACGGCTAGAAGCCTTTGGAGTGCGTTCTCATTTCGTCACTTTCATGGCGTATAGACTAGTCAGTGCGGCCTTGAACTGTAGTCGGTCACGGACTCTACGACGATGGTTCTAGGCTACGGTTTCTGCTCGCCTCGTCTATTAATACCCCGCCCTTCTCGTATTCCACCCACCCAGTTGTTCTCAACTTCGGGAAGTATATCGACACGATCGCGTTCCTGAAATGATGCCTATATTTACCGACGAAGAAATGCAATCCATCTTCAAGTGGCTCCTCTCCAGTCACAAACACGGAGATCTCTACCCTATGAACGAACTCGAGGATTTGGCCACCGAGTATGCTACGAGGGCTTCGACGAGCTATCAGAGGCTTCACGATATAATTCTTCGTCACGAGGAAGTTATACGTAAGAGATATAGACAGTCATACGCGACCGAAGCGAAGCGAAGGGAACTCCTTTTGAGCGTTTGGCCTGATATGGCGGGCAAGCACCTTTCATCTAGCTTCGAAGATACTACAGGGAAATTTGTCCCCACTCCCGCGAAAAGCATCAGTAAGTCAACCCTCCCTAGCCTCTCTTCTTCCTCTCGCAAAAGGTGATCTTGGAGGTTGTCGATGTGTAGGGGATTGCAGAACGCCAGCATTGATACGAGTACAGAAGCGTCAGACAGCATCGATCCAAAGCGAATACTACCATATATTAACCTTCAAGATCTCGCGAAAGATCCGAAAGCGCTTCTCATATATCTTAATGCACGAGGACGAAGCCATCCATACGCTTTCGGTGCGTTTGAGCGTATGTTTATACCGACCGCTCGAGTCAATGATCAGCTCTTGCCGACAAACAAAATGCTCTTTGACGGCGAATTGACCTACGGGAAGATTCGTGAATGGCCGAACCTTGAGAGTGTAGAGGTTTTAGAGGTTAGAAAACTCGCCCTCGGCCTTGGTGAGGGTCTGCAGGTCTTGTTGATACAATGCCACGTCTACACTATCCTGGTCAAGATTTGCGAGGCTATACTGAGCCCCATTAGCTCAGCAGAGCTGACAGAGGACATTCATCCTATCAAACCGGAACCACTCAATTTGGTCGGACGTGGAGAGCTTGTGAATTCCTTTGCCGGAATTGCAGCTAGGTTATATTACCAAGGGCCCACTGGCTTGGATATCGGCAGAGTTTGCCGACTTGTCAAATCTGCTGCTAAAGCTATCCAGGATCACGCTTTTCATCTTCGGGAAGATCCTGGTTATTTTGAGGACGCCTATGAGGATGCTGTAAACCATGACGTATTCATGGTGCCAGACGAGCATGGCAAATCACATCCAGCACTGCGAGGACAAGACTTTGTGAGGCTCACCCTGAACGGTATAGTTCTTCGGTCGCATTTCCATCTCATGTACTGGCAGGAACTAGCGGATCAGATGCACGAGCTCGAAAAGCTAACTGAGACATATCCGAACGGGATCGTCTACAGCGAACTTGAAGAGTCGGAAGTGAAGATCATCGACTACACACATTTCCTGCTCGAAGAGATGAAGACATTGTACTTGGTGGAACTCAGAGGGGTTTGTACAAGCCCCGGGTTCCGCATGCACTTTGTTAGAGACAACAGGAATATCAAAACTAACCCAAGCATGCTTAAAGAGCCGTTACTGAGGGAAACTTATATGATGTTGTTCAGCATCACTGGCGCTTACGAGAGTGAAAAGATCGCGGATTGGCAGGAGCTCTACCATGGCCTAGACGTTCTCGAGACCTTTCTCTCACGAAGCCCGGCGGCAAGAAATCTCTTCAGTCACCAGATCGAGCAGATATTGACGAAGCTTTCAGTCCTCGCTGAATGCGCCTTTCGATTGATGATCCAGCCCTGGTACACTGAGTCGGTATACTACCTAGAATCAGACTCAGCGGACTATAAAGCCAGTCTAATGGGGTCATTTCAAGGCTGGGGAAAGGTCTTCCAAACTGAGGAGGGGCTCATTACGGATACAGACCTAGGAGATCCCAAAGACAAGAAGTTCTTTTACCCTTCCGAAAAGAGCGCCGCTAGAAAGCCAGTGCGACAAGCACTATGCAAAGCTGAAAGACATTTAGACGACTTCTGGGCCATGGTGGACGGGAATATAACTAAGCTTTGTCAGCGGCCTCAGAGGAGAGCACTCCGTCGCATCTTCGACGAAGGAGGTGCAATCAGACGGACCAAGACATGGGATGAGAAGTTTCCAAGGCCGAACCAGTCTGATCGACCAGAGGATATATTTCAGCCCCAGCCAGCTTCAAAAATCTTCCACGACTCATCCAAAGACGTCACCGCCAGCTTCGACAAGCTTGCAGTGACGGAGAAGACCAAAGAGAAGACCCATGGCGAGCCCGGCCCAGCTGCAGTGCCAGCTGCGCAAGGCCCAGAGGGAGAGTTGGAAGAGAAGGTTGTTTATAAGGTTGACCAAAACGCCCATCGCGTCTTCTCGGCGCTCTTCCACATTCCAGATGAAAACGGCAGCGTGCCCGGTAAGGTTACATGGGGAGAATTCTTGAGCGCACTCACTAAGCTCGGCTTTGCGGCTGAGCAGATGCACGGCTCAGCCTGGGAGTTCACCCCAACAGGTGGCTTGGAGCACCTACAGCGAGGTATACACTTCCACCAACCTCATCCGAGTAACGAGATACCGCTTAAGCTGGCGAGGAACTTTGGGAGGAGGCTGGCTCGGGTTTATGACTGGGATGGTACCATGTTCGTGCTGGAGTGAGGGGGGTGTAACGATGTCCATGGGATCTCGAGAGACGATGAGTGAACTTTGAAAGGTAGTAGACCACGCTGAGACACTCGAGTTCAACCATCCCCAGAGACTGATCGCATTGAAATGCGTTAGTCTGTGAATGCAATTAGCGCGATGTGGGTCTTGGAAGCGATGCGAACCGACAGCTATTGTTGTAACATCAAGCGTTTCCAGAACCCTTAGTCTTGGAGATAGCTAATACGATTTCGAAGTCATGTGTTGCGTGATCGCACAACAACCACGTACTTGATGCTTGCTTGTACGGCCCACGACAGCCAGATGCTCCCGAGGTCTCTCAGAGTTCGTGCTGGTAGATAGGGTAAGCACGTATTGAGCAATATTGTCGTCGGCTGTGATACAGCGATGCTATCTATATCTGTGTAGGTAGGCACTCCGGTGAAGATCTGTGTTACATCACGAAGATCGTCGATCGACAATTCCACCCTCAAACGCTTTCCCCTTTGGGCTTTAGCGCTGACGTTGACCCCCTGTGGAACCTTGGCATGTCCTCCGCACTTCGCGACTTCCGTCTTGTCGCATACAAACAGATCTCTCTCGCATTATTACTGGGCAATTACAGCCCGCATCTTATATGTCTAACGGCTTCCAAGACTAAGAGGCTCTGCCAGGTAACCAGCGGAGATTGGGCCGCCATGAGTGGGTCGCCGGACGTAACGAGGCTATGCTGCTGATTGTGACCGCTGCATCTGCAGCGCGTAACATGGGGCCAAGTCTTCCTGGGGTTACTATGGTTGCCTGAATGCACTCAGCCTCTAGATATGTCTTCCCCAAATACCTAGGTACTCTGCGCGATCTACATATTCCAGTCAGACTGCCTAATGACCTGCGTGGGAGCCGCAATCCGGAGTTTAATGCGCAAACAGCATGTCGCATTCAAACACTAGTCCATCGTCAGAACCGCGCGAACGTTATTCATGGATATCGCTTCCTGAGAGCGATACCTTAAGCGGCATCACGCAGCATGAACACGCCGAACAGGGCGACGGCGTCGACCGCACTCGCAGGCCTGAATCCCGAGCTCAAGAGCAACGCGAACACACCGATTCGTCTCCTCATGCTGCTCAGGAAAACGAGACGCTTCTCTCCAGCCGAGCATCTACCGCACTCAGTGGAGCGATCGATGACCACTCGCTGGATGAGCCGCAAATAAGGAACTTCGATGATACCCATGAGCGTGAGTGCAACACCGAGTACCCCAAGTTACTATGTCCGACATCTTCTGACGAGCTTAAAGCAAAGTTTCAAGATCAAAGCCTGCGGGCATCCACAGATTGGGTGCCATACACGCTGCGGCGCCCATACCTGATCACTCTTAGCCTAGCATCACTCATACTCTCGACCGTATTAGCAGTCCTTAGCTGGCACTCTTATAAAAACCATGGACTCGGAGATGAGGATGGGTCTACTGGACTACTCATTGGATGGAGATATACGCCCACCATCGTCGCCATTTTCTTCACGCAGGCTGTTGTCCAGGTTGCAGAGGATGTAAAGAGGACTGAAGCATACGCACGCATGGCCGGCCCCGAATCTATCGAAGCCAAGTTCACCCTGTTCTATCTGCCCAAGGTCTGGTGGAAAAGCATCTTTGTAGGTTTCTCTCGAAAGCGGAGCGGCGGCCACCGGAGATGGAATCTGGCCTTGTCTTCGCTCGCAGCTGGTATCAGTGTGCTCAGCATTTCAACCTTCTCGTCGTCCGTATTCGTTGCGAAAGAAATCTTGTATCAGGAGGATGTGCAGCTTCAACGGTATGCCGCTGGCCAGACAATTGGCGAAGACTTGTCACCCATTCAGCTTTCACCTCGAAGAGATACGTATCTCCGAACTATAAGTGGATATCTCTTCAACGTATCTACATCTATCTGGTCGTCGAATTCGCAAGTCATTGTACCTTTTGGAGCATCAAATGGCGACAAGCGCCATGCAACGCTTCCGAACGGTATATGGCAAGCAGATACTGAGGTGTTCCATCTAAACTACAGTTGCACATCGATGGCTCTGGTTGAGAAGGACATAATCGATATCACCTACAAGTATACAGACATCCCGATAACGTCATGTCCAAACGACACATGTACTGTCTCCTCAAAGGGTTTCAAAGTTCGATCAGAGGATGGTTGTGAGGTCCAAATCCAAGGTCCAATCGCTCAATGGGATGCTTTGGGAGCCGAGTTGAACTCCGATGGCTTCATTAGCGATACCTTTACAGATGATGGAGGCTTGCTCTGGACCAACATGTCTTCCAATTACGTGTCGTGGGAGACACTTATTCGAGATTACGGTCAGCCTCCAGCAATTCGCTCCATTGGAGAGAAGGTCCTCGAGCAATGGTCTCGCACGTTCATTTATGGTTTCTCCGATCAATGCATTGGGCGTGACCTGCTACTTGTATCGCCTCAATGGATTGTCCGGCCGTCACCTGTCGATGTGCCCGTGGGTGTATGGGAGAAAGAATCATGGGACAACCTCACGATACGGGCACAAGTATGCACTCCGGAATATCATACAGCTAGCCTCCCAGTCTCTGCATCCATCGACGGCGCTGAAACTTCCATGTCCTTCGATGTATCAGAGTTTGAGCGACGCAGGCAGCCTGTGTCGAAACAAGCCATCGATTTCGACTTATTGGATGATCTCACTTTTCGCAGTGACAGTTGGGACAAGGTAAGTTCTGACTGTACGAAGTGCATGCGAGACATATACTGACATCGTACCTCTACCTCCAGTACATGGCCGTACCTCGTAATGTTCATGGTTCTTTTGAGGGTATATCGTTGCTTCTTGCTTCAACTTTCGCTCACAACGTATCCAATATTTTGGAGAACGTCACGTTAGAGGAAGAAGCTAGCAAACTTCGGATGCACTTCACAAAAGAGCTTTTGCTCTCTTCTCTCATAGAAGCCGACAACCCACAATTGGAAGATACAAAAGGGCTTGCTACACGCGTTAGGAGACGGATTCTGGTCGTCACTGAGGTTGCAATAACACTCGCAGTATTGTTCATGCTCTTGGCAGGCTACATTGCAGTAGCTGTATTCTACACATCGCCCAGGAAAAGACCACTCAACCTCCATTCAGATCCTGCCACCGTTGCTGGAACATCATCCCTCCTTGGCAGTACTTCGCTTTCTTCTACCACGTTGAGTACATTCCTTGGGTATGAAAGATCGCGCACGCAAGGTCTTATCCAATCACGGGTATATCATCTACAAGGCGGCATCATTTCAGAGAAGGAAACGACAGGGGAGTCGATTGAAGTTAGAAAGCCGAATGTACTCGGCAAGACAAGCGAGCTTTCAGTAAGCCATCCCAGATCAAAAGATGGCTCTCAAGATGACTGGAGGCCTTCAATGCTCCTCAAACGATGGCTTCTTACACTACTGGCTACTCTGATCGCTGTCGCAACAACCATGTTCGTTCTTCGCAGATATGCACGAGAAGATAAGCTTTCCCAGACTGCTTTTACCTACCAGGTCGATTTGGGTTTATTCGACACGTCGTTCTCTCCTCACTCTGTCGTTGCAACGCTAATCGCCGTTTGTATTGGATTGAGTTGGGATGGTATCGATAAACCTATGCGGATTCTGCAGCCATATCTCTCGTTGTCGCGGAAACCCGTAGTCCCAATACGAGGAGCATCGTTGACTTACCAGTCTTCATACTGGACATGGGCCGCGGCAAAATCAGCGTCGCGGAAACATTGGATGCTTTGTCTAATAACTACTGGTACAACCTTAACACAAATCCGTAAGCATTTTCTCGCTCCGTTGAGTCGTGTAGCTAACCGTGTAGTCATTATCTCCATGGCAGCCGTCTTCGAAAGACAGACCGCATTGATTAGTCGGGAAACTTGGGACCCATCACATATTGATACACTTTGGGTGACAGCACCTTTTGAGCTTCTACAAGAGCCTATCGACTTTTCCAACCCAGGCGAACGGACGCGCAATTTCGACTTAGACGAGCATATGTTGGACTCATCCAATATTCAGTGGCTCAACCACGCGTTGGACGAGATCCTTCTAGAAGCACCGCAACTGGCGTGGACTAAGGACGAATGGACGTTTACCCCACTTGATATGCAAGAGCTGCCAAACGTCACAGTATCCTCGAAATCGCGTTCCGGTTCTGGGAGACATACAAGCTCCGATTCTATAGCGTCACCCGCAAACGCGTCTTTCATCACCTCCGCTATCCGAAGTCGATTACAGTGCTCTCCGATTGCCGTACCAGACTCCGGCTGGCTTGACCAAGCCGCAGACGTTTTTCCCAATCGTACCAATGAAGCGCTACAAGGATTTGCATTACCAACTACTCTATTCGACGGCGAATCGTACAATACCTCTGTCTTCTCGGCTCGGAGACGATTATCATGCTGTGCGAATGGCACAGATCCTGGTCAGCAAGCTGTCGTTGCGTATTGGAGCAGCAACAGCTCAATGATTGAACGGGTGGATCCCAATTTCTTCATACAAGAGTGCACTTATGAACAACTTACTAATGGCAACTGCACGAGTGCCAATGCGCCGTCAGATCCCCTCAGCGAGGATGGACCAGAAGATGTTATCGTTCAAGGCTCTTGGTACCGTAACTTTACCATCAAGTGGATCGTGGGGCCAGGTGTGACTGCGAAAATATCTGGGGCTAATCCAGCTGCGAACCCGAAGGTACAACAAATAAGCGCACCGTACGGCTCTGCAGATGAAGAGCTTCTCTACTTCACGGAAGAGCCCAAGATGGCTATAATGGACTGTATCATGGTCATCGAAAATACATCCGCCAGTGTTACTGTAGCTAGGAGTTCTGGGAACGTTTTGGACTACAGCTTGGTGGCGGACCCACAGCCTGCTCTGGACGCATGGGATTACGCCTGGGATATCTTGTACCCTAGTCCAACATCCTACACAGGAAGAGGAAATGTCAGGTAAGGCATCCATCCAATTGAGTGGCTACCTCGAGCGTGTTCATCACGAATCAAGTGCTAACCACTAGCTACTAGTTACGGCCATCTATTCATGACGCAGCTCCTCACCGCCCCACACATCATCACACCTCACATAGCACATTCCTGGCTATCCTACAACCGCAGCATCGAAGAAACAGCAAGCGAACGCTTCAACATTCGCGACCGGGATCGTGGGCTCAACGTCGATTTCATGTCCTACGCAAACTGGAACCTTGCCAACAAAGACACCGAATCCCTGCTAAATGCAACAACGCTATTGCGACATTCCGAGAAGACTTTACAAATCTTCTTCAAACACTTTGTCAATAGCGGGTCGTCGAGTCTCAGCGGGCGCTGGTCATCTTCAGGACCTGAGAGAGCAGCCTACCAGCGGGCCTCGTCACAGCCTGTGAATGGGACGTTTACGAAACGGGTTGAAGTTCTTGCTATGAATGAGACGGCAACGTGGCTCTCGCTTACCATACTCATCCTGCTTATCGTTATCCTGGTTGTTCTGGTTGTGAGCTTGCAGATCGTATATCCGAGCTCATGCATGCAACATCGCGTCGAGTGCTTGGCAGACGTACTGGCAATGGTTGCTGGAAGCGAGGGGCTGATCGGTTTGATTGAAGAGCAGGGTGTTGACGGCTTTGCTAAGAGTGGTAGACTGACTAAACTGGGTTGGTTCAGAGACGCGCGAGGAAATGTTAGATGGGGTGTTGAACTCGTGGATGCAGAGGGTGTGGAATGGGTTGATGGACCAGAGAAGGTTGCCTCGGCTGGACATGATGAGGAGTCATCAATTCAGTCCGGGGAAGTAGTCGATGCGAATAGTGCGCTTCTGGAAAGCGAACGAAGGTCACCTTCCCTACGGGATTCCGTTCAGGAGCAACAGACAGGGCCAATGCTGGAACCCAGCGATGTCGCCAACAACGCATCGAGGCTATAGCGCAATGAGACGCTTGACTCTCGAATAACTGGCCATGTCTATTCCGGTGCTGTCTACGTGTATCCCATTTCCTACCCCGACACGTGTTCACCAATCTACCATACATGCATTCACTCGCCCAACACAAGTGAGGCAAGCGAGGCGGAGAGGCCAGCCACACCGGAAACACTCGGCAGCCAGGCCCACGCCAACGCGTACAGTACCGGCACTTTCCATTTTCCTTACCGTACCGAGGCCACGGTCTGGAATCTTGGGAAAAAGGAACGGTGGGTAGCGTCATGCCCGCAGTTGTAGTGTGGGGGTGAAACGACTAAGTGCTGTAGCCCGAATTAGGATGTCGCCCTATGCAGTCAGACAAAAGCATACACGCAAGCTTAGGTCAGTGCTGGCGTCCTGCATCACATTTGCGGTGAACCAGTACAGGGTAACGGTGAGGAGGGTAGAAGAGATGTGATTGTGATCATATCCTACACGATACCAGCAGGCTAGCTGCAGTATCCGATCTGAATAAATCCCATCAGGCCATCCATCCATCCCAGCTCAACTATGTAGATAAGGAAAAAAGAGAGAAAGATCCATCGCTGCGTAGTTCATGATCCATACGTCCATCATCATAAGCGTCGTAGCCGTTGCCAACACATCGACCTCTTGCTTACTTTTTTTGCGAAATAGCGGAACGAAAAAAGGAAACCCCACCAAACATTTCTGCCACGTACATGATCCAGCCATAACAAGTAGAAAAGGAGATAAGGGTATTACATCCGCCAAAATCGAGAAAAAGTGCCGAAAAGCCTCCGCGAGGAGCAGGTATAGTGCAGGGTAAAGAAGAAGTAAGAAGAAGGGGGGAATAATGTGGGGAACGCTCAAAAAAGGGCGCGACGAAAGGCAGGAAGAAGATAACCGTACAATCTGATCGGTCCAAACAAGCAGTTCAATGGCGGTGACCGCCCTTACGCATTAGATGTTGGTGAGCGTGAGCGTCCCAGTCTAGCAAACCATAACAATGTGACCTGCATTGTCGCAGGGAACGCAACAAGCATACAAACATGAAATGCGAGTGAGCAATAGTGCCAAAATCGAACTTGCGATGAAGAAACCGATCCGAACTTTTTTGTTGAGCAGGCCTACCAAAAAGGCATGTCGGCGCTCGTAGAAAGCTTTTGATATGGAAATCATCCACCCAATGAAGATATGAAGAAAAGGAAAGAGATCTGCCGCGCAGTAAAGAGGATAGAAATGTACGTGTGGCCTGCAGAGAAAGTCAAAGTCGACTTACGCATCTTCGTTTCGCGCGCGAGTGTTAAAGGTTCGGAGATTCTCAGTTGTTGTAATACGAACTGGTGTTGGCGCGGCGACGCAAAGGTCGCTGAACCTCAACAATCCGATCCTCGTAAGAATCTCGTACTACTCGGCTTTCGCGCCTACTACGGTGGCTGCGCGTGCTTCCTTTGGTCATCTCCTCTAGCTGGCTGCGCGTTACAAGTGCCTGTCCGTCACCTGCGTTGCTGCCCCTTTCACTGCTGTGATAATTGCTTTCGTTGTCACGACTTCCACTGATGACGAGTTCTGCCATACCGTCCTCGGTCGGGATGAGTTGCATGGTGCGACCCTCCATGTCGCCGTTGAATTGCAGGCTGAGTGGGGCGTTCGCATCAACTCGGAGGCGAATCTCGTTGTTACCGTTGCTAGTGACAGCAGTGCGGTTAGACTGGCTTTGCCTATCGCTTCCAGAGGAGCCGGAATGGGAGGGCATTGAAGGCACCCTCGAAGCTCTCTTTGCAGCACGATGGATGTGATCGTTCAACGGGGCATCCGTACCACGTTGGTTGTTCATGTAATCTATCGCCTGAACTTCTTTGGGTCTGCGTCCTCCGGCATCAGTAGGACGACGACGGGGAGCAATTGGGGCTTCGGGGACGGCGGGAGCGACGGGTTCGTCAGATTCGTACTCCGACTCGCTATCATCGAACGCTGCAGGAGGCTGGTAGTAGACCTTGGAGTTGCGCTTTTCACGTTTGCGTTCTTGCTCGGCCCTTGCAGCCTGATCAGCCTGATAACGCTCTTCGAGGGCTTTCCTTGCCCGTCTAGCAGCCTTAGCTTCTCTCTGGGCTTGGTCTTCGGCTGCGAGGCGTGCCTCTTCCTGCTGCCTCTCCGCGACGAACTCTGCATACTCCTTATCCCTGGCAGACTGTCCGTAGTGAGCGGATCGACGCCGCTCAGCCTTGGTGCTATCGCCCACATAGACTGAGCCACGCCGTGCAGGGTATTCAGTCTGTGTATGAGCTGGTGGAGGAGGTCGGCTAACTGACAGTCGGCGAGACGGCTCGTTCGTGCTTTTGGTGGATCGGTGACGGTTGGAGCGCTCGTCGACGACAACAGGAGGAGTCGACATCGAATGGCGGTGGTTGCGAACCTTCTCCACGGTTGTGGTAGTGTAAGCATGAGGCAAGGGAGGTCGTTCCGATTTCTTCGTCTTGGGCTTGGTCTTGGTGTTCGACTTGGTCTTGGGAGCCTTTGGAGGCGGCATAAGCGCACGATGGGCCCGTGGGTCATTGGGATCGATCTCAGGGTCGGATCCGTAGTACTCGTCATCCTCAGACAACTCAGACTCCGATTCGTCGTCGCTCTCGTGGGGCCTATCGTTGAGTTGCAACGGGGCTGGAAGCCTAGGGTGTGTGGCGCTCTGATGCTGGCTGTACCTCGTGGAGTACTGCTGCTCGCGCGGAGCCTGGCTAATGACAGGCGGTGCGGGTCCACGACGTGCGGCATTAGAAGAGCTGCGCTGTGGCATGCCTGGCCTCTGTCCGTCATCGTAAGGCGGCTGATAGAACTGAGAGGGGTAGCCGGGTGGCACTCCATAGGGCGTCTGTGGAGGACCCATCTGGCCCATGTAAGGCATTGGGAAGCCTCGCGAGTAGTGAGCAGAGCTGGAAGGAGGCGGTCCACGCTCTGGGGGCGGGGTAGGATATCCAGGTGCACCCTGAGCCCAGTACTGAGGCCCGGGCTCACCGCTATAGCTTAGCGGTCGACCAGTGGTCGATACTGACGGGCGACGACGTGTCGCGGCTGGCTGAATGACAGCGGCTCCATGTCCGTAGTAGGCCTGGCGATAGTGTGTAGGGGAGGGCGGAGCCTGCTGGTAGGAAGCGGGATCAGAATGCATTGAGCGTGTGTCTTGTGGGATTGGACGCACGTCGCGAGCGGATTGAGATGGCAGTATGTCAGGGCGACGACGGACGGCTGAGGCAGGGGCGTTGGGGTCGTACTTGGTGCGTCTAGGCTCGGCACCATCCGGTTCAACTCTGCTGTCACGACGATCTCTGCGCTCCGGGCGGGACTCCTGGGTAACGGTCGGCCGGCGTTTACGTTCAGGTGGCTGTTGTTGGACGATGGCGGGAGTCTTGGACGAAGCAGTGCGAGCGCTGGGCTTGGGTCGTGAAGATGAAGAAGACTTGGAAGTCTTCTCGGTCGTGTCCGTCGGGCGTCGTCGGGCCTTTGGAGCCTCAGGCTGGGGAGGCGCTGGGGCAGCGGCGGCAGGCACCTGGGGCGGGCTGCGCTGGGGAGGAGCACTTTGAGCGGAATTAGTGCTGCTGACGGTGGCGGTGGTGTAGCTGCTGTACCCTGAGTCGGAGCGAAGGTCGATGTTGGTCGGCGCCCTCTCCTGCGCGGGCGGCATTTGTTTATCCAAGTCGGAAGGGTGCGAGCGCTTGGTGGAGACGTTAGCGGCATTGGGCGACCGGCGGCCCTGGAAGGGGATAGAGCCGCCTTCGCTGTCATCCGAGTAGCAGTCCTCGACAGTAGGCTGCAGTTCCGCCATGTTGGCAGCGCAGTAGCAGTAGCAGCAGCAGCGTTTGTTTTGGGGGAGAGAAGACAGGAGTCGGCAAAATATCTAGCGGCTCCAGCAGCGCGCTCTATCGATAATAAAGCGTCGCGGGGCGATCCTGGACAAGCAATCAATCAGGCGAGACGGCGAAAGCGCATTATTCGCACGGGCATAGGGCTGGCTGCTACCGTCTCATCAAGGCGGCGGGGGCGTGGTGTGGGTGAAGGGGAAAGAAGATCAGAGCGGAGGGACGAGGGAGGCAGAGGGATGAGGGATATGCGAGGCGCTGCAGAGTATGACGGGCGACTTGGTGTGCAGCAGACAGGCATGCAGGCGTTGTTCGGGCTTCGACACACGAAAGTTTTCCCCCGCCCGTAAAATTCAAAACGGCGTGGTACTATAAACTGCCTTATAGCGGGCTAGCTCTTTCATGCAATGCGTCTAATCGTTGGGCGCGCACCGCATCCGTCGCTGCCCAGTCAACCTCCAACACCTAGTGGTTGGCCGAGGGGCTGCTCTGCCGCCCTCAAGCTCCTGGCTGTCGTCAAGTGGTCGCTGTCGTGGTGACGCAGCCTCCACACCATACTTTGGGTGGCTGCATGCAGACGCCCTCGTTGCCAGCCGCAACACTGCCATCGCCATGCTGCTGTCTGCACCGGGACTGCGACCACGTCCAAGTAGTCTGCTGGGAAGGCCTGCCCTCCGAGGCCGAGTCTGCGACAGTTTCGCCATGCGTCCACACTGCTTCACCCTGCCGCCATGCCACCCTGATGCTGATCACGTCGTCCGGGTCGTAATAATAGCCATTCGCCTGGCCATTGGCTGCCTCAGATGCGCAACATCCATCGGTTTGAGTGGTCGTGGATCGTCTCCGTTCGAACGACATGAAACCGGGATTGCCCGGCCCTCGTAGCTGCGAGCCGTTCGCCTGAGAGGGCTGAATGGGCGAATCCACCTCAACGCACCACCTCACCGCCCTCTCGCGCGTCACGACATTCCGTCAAAACCACATCTCAACGCGCTCCTCGCTCGATCCAGCCCTCATGAAAGCTTGTCGCCCGCCTGCTAGACGAAATTGGCGGCCGCTGCTGCTGATCACACCCCGCCTTGGCACTGTCTATCGTGTATTACCACGACGCCCTCGATGCTCTGCAGCATCACACGGTGAACGGTTGCAGGGCAGAATTTCCTAGCTCCATCGAACTTTTTCCTTGCGCTTCCTCGCTTCCTCACGGTTCACGTCATGGAGCCTCAGCACTGCGTCGTTTATTAACAGCTAACTCGTTTGCTCCTGGCTCGGCCACGTCAATCACGCTTACCATGCAGGAACAACAGAGCACTCTCACCATCGTTACCTTCATTAATCTCCAGGACGCGACGCATAACATGTGTCCTTTCGCCACTGCGAGTCCTCATTGTCCGGTGTCAAGCATGGCTGGCGTTGCGTCCTCAGAACCACGCAAATCACAGCCTCCCAGCTCTTGCCCTGCCCGGCACTAACGCACTTGCCAGCAAGACAGCGTATCGGTGTAACAACCCCATCGAATCGCCTCGGACGCAGCTCTCATCACGCGGCCCGTCAAGCGTTGCTTACTCGCCTAGTCATCGACACTACCCCACCAAAGCTTCCGGTGAACAGACGCACCGCATCGAGCAGCGCAATGCCCTCAACAATTCTGGCCAGAACCAGAACAAATGATGCGCCCTCGAATACGCCCAATCCGGCAACCTGCGGCTTCCACGGCACCGCGACTCCAAACGTCACACGCACGACGACCGTTATCGTATTCCGAGGTATTCGCCACTGCTCTCCTCCCTCATGTCCCTCATGCTGTGTTCGACCGGCGTCATGGTACACGGTCTGCAGACAGAGTGCAGCGTCTTGACTTTTCGTCGTTGCTAGATCAAGCTTCAGACATTCGCCATAAACACCCCACCACCAGCTACCATGTGGTGCATCCTTGACAGCTTTGCCATTCGCTCGTCCCGGTCCTGTAAGACGAAATAGTGCAGTGGTCCGTAACGGAAGGGTGGCCGCTCATCCAATGCTCCCACACCACCAGGCATGACGTTGAGTTTCGTGTAACTGTGGCTACCCTTCATCCACGCCTGCGCCAGATATGTGCTGTGATGCTTGATAAATGCCACTCAGAACCATTCGCTTCGGCTCAGATGCAGCACTCTGCGCGACACCAATTTGTGCCGACCGCCAGGTCTTGCAAAGCGCTCGTTGCACACATTGAGTGATTAGCCAACCTTCTACGTGACCTCCAGCAAGTTCTGCGGCGGGGTAGCGGACAGATACGGCATGACAACACGCTCGAAAGGGTCTCCGCATACAATCGTCTTCCACTGACGTCCGTTTAGACTCTTGGTGTGACCGGCAGACCATCGGGGCTGAATCATTTCGGCACATCGCACACGCCCTGCAGACATCAAGAACTTTGGCTTGAAGCCTGTGTCAGATTGATGCGATATCGGCAGCTTTTGTGCCACAGTGACACAGTCATGTGCATGGGAACTGTAAAACGCCATCATACTTCTCAAGAAAGGATGGTGGGAGTCGATGGTCGAGAACTTGCGATTGATCGTCGACGTAAAGGGGAGATGGGCGTTCGATGCCGCCATGCGCGGTGGACATGCGATGGATGTCAATATCACTTGCCTTAAGCATCTTGCAGGTAATGTACCCACAATCTCAAAATAATCTACGCCACAGCCCCTCTTACATGAACTCCTGCAAACTCATTATTTCTTATTGTCAGACATTCAAACTGCACTTTTCGTTATATCAAAATCGTGGTCGCGCCTTCCTAACCATTGTCGTCTCGCCGTTTGGCTAGCGCTGGTTGGGTGGAGGAACGCGTGGGAACTCGCTAAGCGCAGCCCACCACAAATCCACCATCTCGTTGGAACCCGAGCGAAATTCGACAATGGCATTCTAAACACTTTCATTTCACCGCGCTATCCAGCTTCAGTTCGTTCGCGCGAGCAATTCCTCTCTAGAGACTACGTTTCCATCAGGACGTGTGACTCACATGCGGCATGTCACTTCGTCTCAGCAATGAATCCTTCGCTGCCCAAAGTGTCTCCAATTGGGTCCCGAACACTTGGTCTTGCGGCTCTCGCTGCCCTACGGACCCACTTCTGGCGCTGACGCCATGGACTTTTGGATCTAGGATGCCCAAAAGACCCACCCAGCGGCTATTGTGGGCGAAAATTCATACCCTCCGCTGTCAACTACAGGTACCACGCGACGGGGGAGCGAAAAGCAATAGTAACAATCCCGAGCTTTTCCATCATGATCTACGAATGGAAGCTTTGAATGAGGACGTCTCGTCGGAATATGTCTCAGCTCAACAGCATTTGGTCCAAATTTTGCTGTACACGTGGGGGATCACCTGTCTGGTCAGGCGTCAGTCCTGGTCTTGTCCAGCTGACGTCACTTGCTCCCCAGATACTCCAGGTGTTTAGTGTCCGTTGAGGCCTGAATGGAGACCCTCATACAGGTCTACGGGAGTAGGCCCAGTCATCCCGTGGTGCGTGCGGCAACCTCGTCAGCCATGGGATGCCTACTGCTGAACACTGGCCTCACTAACTACCTCGTCCAATCCACGTCAACTATCGTGCCGTATGGGAGGACACGCCCATTATCCGAGGCCGATGAAGCGTCGTGCAAAGATCCATACGTGATTGAAACGGAAAACTCGGTATCATACAGACTCACAGAGAAGCTTTCCACCTGCTTCTCGAGATCTTCCACCCTCCGGCATAGACAAAGACGGGAAGCGGGGTGCTTGGTGTCGCGACTTCCGTCACCAAGCCTGTCACCCAGGTAGCTGACTCGAGTCGTAGAGTCACGTGATTATATCACGACTCAGGTGCGGCTCGGCACGAACATGGGGATCACTGATCAGCGACGCCGGCAACCGCAACACACCCTCGGATCTGACCCCAGCTTTCGGTAAACTAACTACATAGACCTGCACAGACGACATCTTCTTTCTGCGTTCCACTTCTCACACCTGTTCATCCTGATACTCATTTTCAGAAGCAAAGTCGTCCTGCCTCGGTACGGCTTCGGGCAGCACCCGGCCAGCTCAGCTAGAAAAAGCGCACTGGTTGGTCTTCCAGTAGCGACAGGCTAGAGCCATACGATGACCGCCACACCTTCGATGGGAACATTTGCATCGATGCCCTTTTCGCATGTCGACACGCTATGCAAGACGTAGTATCCAGCAAAGAAAGATCCCATCACCAGACGACACCCCACACCGGAGTAACAACAGTAGATGCTGTTTGCAAGACGCATGTCAACCACACGAAAATACAAACAACAACATGGCTGCTGATACCCTTAGCGTTTGGAGATTCTAAGAGGCCATGCGAGCGGGAAATCCCGTCAAAGGTTCTGCTAGTACAACAAACTTCGAAACAACATCCTACAATATCCGCCATTGAATGTCTCAAATCGTGGAGACATTACAGCTAAGATCCGGAAGAAGGGCCGATGAGACACATGATCAGATCACGACCATGAACAATTCCGCATCTTGGGCAAAATCCAGATGAGTTCAGACGACGATAACCCAGTGGCGAAGCTGAAGCCCTCACACTCTCTTCTCTATACGATCAGTTGTATTAAAGTGCAGCGGCAGCGTATGTGTAGCTAGACGCAGTACAGTCTCACGCACTTACTTTCGCCGCTCGACCAGAAGCTATGGTCTTCGCATGTATCTAGGCATCGTGGAACGCTTCCGCTCGTAGTACATCAACACCTCGATAATCAGTCGATGAGCCAGCGGAAGATGCCCTGCCAATGTTGGATGGCAATGGCTGTCGGCAAGTTGTCTGGCAGAAGACCTCGATTCGAGGGTCTGGGCCCACGCCACGTGCCCGTAGCGGACAGCGGACACCCCGCTAAGTGCTTGCCCAGGCTCCAAACCACCAAAAGCCCACCCCATTTGTCGCAGCCACCTCCGGATTTCCATGAC